TGAGTCATTTCCACTCAACCACACTCTTCAGGTTAATATGACTCATTATTGAAAGTGAGAGAATATTTAATAATGATAATTTAAAAAAATAATTATCCTTATTCCTCACATAGTGACACTTTAAAAAAGTGATAGCCTACTTCCACTAGCCTTAGGGCATGACCTCAATAGTGGGAATTTTGTTGTGGTTTTTGATGAATTTTTGTAAGTGTGATTAGGAAATAAAATATGGGAGGAAAGAAAAGAAAAGAAAAACTCTAAATAATGGCAGAACGCGCCCAACGGGCGCAGTGGTTACAACCACTCCTATGAGGCGCGAATGGCAAAGCTGAGCAGAGGGTCCCACTTTACTGCAAAATCCTTATTCTGCAGGAGAAACTATCTCCAAAATCTTACAGGGTGTTTGGTTGGAGGGATTTAAAATTCCCTTCCCACTTAATTCCCACCTAATTCCAAAGGCCATTAAATTCCGTAGTTTGGTTGGAGGGAATTGCAATTCCATGGAATTGCAATTTCCCCATTTTCATGGAATTAAAATCCCATGCCCCCCCCCCCCCCCCCCCCCCCCCCCTGTATTTTAATTCCTGGGAAAAAAAGATAGTGATGAGTCAACATTACCCCTTCCTTTTTTAACTTAAAATTAATTTCTAACAACAATAATGGACATTTTTGACTTTATACTACTTATTCCCTTTCAATTCCCATGTATACCAAACATTGAAATTGAAATTCCCAGTAATTCTATTCCTGTCAACCAAACACTGGAATTTAAATTCCCACTTTATTTCCAGTAATTCAACTCCCATAGAATTCAATTCCTTTCCCACATAATTCCCCCCTCCAACCAAACGCCCTGTTAGTCTTATCATTACTAAAAATCCATTGTTTGAAAATCTTAGAATGATTCCCCCTAATAAGGATGTTCCTATATGTCAAAGAACTAAAAATGGACCAAAATTTGATAATCAAAGAAATTATTTGATGAAAAAAAAAATAAAATTGAGAGCTAAAGCGATAAAATCAACATAGACAAGCAATTATTTCAATAATTTATTATGTTATGTTATAATAAAAAAAAAATACTTTTCAGTACAATTTCCCTTTAAACTTATAAAATGTGAAGATAAAAAGTTGTTTTCAACATTAAACTAAAACGAAACCTGTATCCACATGATACAATTCAATTGATTGATCAATTTAAAATAAATTTGTATTAAAGCACAATCTATAATTAACATCATTCACTAAGTTTTGAAGACAGAAGCAACAAAACTCTCGAGATTGGATTGTAGTCATTTCTCAAAAGAAAATGTGTAGAAGTAACTCTCAATAATACGGCAAGACTCTAGAAACAGAGAAATTTTTGTCTTTTTTTTTTTTTTTTTTTTTTTTTTTTGGATTCAAAAGAGGGCAAAGTCCGGTGCCTTACAACAGACATCCTTCCGAAATAGTCTTTATACACATAAAATACTCGAATCTACCAATAACGCATTCTTGACCCGGGAGGAATTTCGTCTTTTGCACCCAAACGAGAAGAGGCAACGTGTTTTGTTAGGAATATAGCGGAATAATGCGGAAGCGAAGAATCGAAAATTGAGAATTATAGAAGTTAATAATAGGGAAAATATAATAAATGACGAAATAATAAAATACTAAATTGGGAGAATATAGAAATATATATATTAATCTCAAAAGAGAGAATTGAAACAATAATATATATATTTGTCTACGTAAGGAAAGCTAAAGAATTAAGGATGGATGATGAATTGATAATTGATGTAAGAGGTGATTTACAAAGCAAAGAACTACTGCTACTTATACATTCACAAAAGAGAAATAAGCGCATGAAATAAAGGATGTACATGCGCATTAGTAGCTACGTGGGAAGACAATTGCGCATGCAAATGTTGAGTGGTCTTAATGGATTGATTTGAGCCACACAAAATTATTATCCTAACAATCTCCACCTTGGATCAAATTCACTATTGAATTAGTAATTGGAACAGTCGACTAAGCTCAAACACTATTTGAACTTAGCAACAGGAAGAACCTCAGAATAGCAGGATGGATCACCATCAACTTCCTGTGTGACTGAAAGCGCATAAGCAACCATATTGGTTTCATCATCACTAGCATACCTAGCAGGTTTTTTAATTGTCCTCCTAGGACGATCCATAGCAATGGAATACTCTCGTTGTGGCTCGACGAGAGGTGTTGTGCTAGTAGATGCATCATCTTTAGTATTACCGTCAGCAGTAGTAACACTATCAATATGCCTGAATTCAAACTCCACCTTCTCACCAGTACTCTGTGTCTCACCTGTACTGGGAACTTTTCTAGAAGAAAGTAGTGCATTTTCATCAAAAGTGATATCTCGACTCAGAATGATTTTCCGAGAATCAGGAGACCATAGACGATACCCTTTTGACTCAGAAGCATAACCAAGGAAAATGCATTTGACAGCTCTCGGGTTTAATTTACCCGTACTGGAATGAGCATAAGCAGGACATCCAAAAACTCTTAAGATAGAGTAATCAACAGGATTACCTGACCAAACTTCCTCTGGAATTTTGAAATCAAGGGATGAATGTGGAGATCTATTTACCAAATAGCAAGCAGTAGAAACGGCCTCGGCCCAAAAATCACGCCGTTTCCATAACCCAGCATTAGAGAGCATACAACGAGCTCTTTCCAATAGAGTCCTGTTCAAACGTTCGGCAACACCATTCTGCTGGGGTTTACCAGGCAAGGTCTTGTGCCTGGCAATTCCATTTGCCGCACAAAAGTCATTGAAATCTGACTCACAGAACTCCAAGCCATTGTCTGTCCTGAGCTTCTTGACTTTTTTACCTGTCTGAGTCTCAACAAGTATTTTCCATTTCTTGAAAATAGAAAATGCTTGATTTTTATGTTTCAGGAAATAGACCCAGACTTTACGAGAAAAGTCATCAATAATAGACATAAAATATCTACAGCCTCCCATAGACTGGAATTTAGTCGGTCCCCATAAATCGGAATGTATATATTCCAATACATCTTTGGTACAGTGTGTAGCAGTAGAGAAACTAACCCTCTTTTGTTTCCCAAAAATACAATGCTCACAAAATTGTAATTTACCCGTACCTGAACCACCAAGGAGACCTTTCTTGCTCAGGAGATGCATGCCTTTCTCACTCATATGCCCCAGACGCATATGCCATAATTGAGTGAGATCCGCATCAGACATCGATGAGGATATCGCTACTGAACCCGTCACAGTACTGCCATGCAAGACGTACACGCTTCCAGAACGAGAAGCTTTCATGAGAACAACAGAGCCTTTTATGACCTTCAAAACTCCACCTTCAGCTATGTACTTGTACCCCAGAGATTCCAAGGTGCCCAACGATATCAGATTGCGTTTCAAATCAGGAATATACCGAACATTGGTAAGAGTCCTGACAACGTTATCATGAGTTTTAATCTGAACACTTCCAATTCCACTAACCTTGCATTGGGTATCATTACCCAACAAGACAACTCCACCATCAACCGGTTCCAGAGAAATGAACCAATCTTTGTGGGGACACATGTGGAATGTACAACCAGAGTCCAAAATCCACTCGGTTTCACTCCGTTTCTCACCGGAGCTAACAGATAACAGCACATCACCATCTGAATCACTTTCAACAACACTAGCTTCAGCGGACTTCTTTTCTCTCTCTTGCTTGTTTTTCAACTTGAAGCATTCAGTCACATCATGACCATGCTTCTTGCAGTACTTACAGGATTTGTTGGACTTATGTCCTTCGGACTTGGATCTAGAATTTTTATTGCTACTCCCTGATTCAAGTGAACGACCCCTTACAGTCAAGCCTTCACCTTTGTCCTCAGACTTAATTTCAAAGTCAAACTTTTCTTTGGACAATAGGTTTGACTTAACACTGTCGAAAGTAAGGGTATCACTACTATTACCATACAGCATAATTTCTTTGAAATGCTTATATGAATTAGGGAGAGAGACAAGCAATAAAACAGCACGATCCTCATCGTCAATTATGACATCAATATTTTCCAAGTCCAATAAAATAGAATTGAATTCATCTAAGTGAGACTTAATAGAAGTACCTTCCGTCATACGGATTGTGTACAGACGCTCCTTCAGGCGTAGCGTGTTCGTCAGAGTTTTGGCCATGTAAAGCGTATCCAGCTTGGACCATAAATCTGACGCAGTCGTCTCACTTAATACCTCACGTAGAACCTCTTTAGACAGACACAAAAGAATGGTTGAACGTGCCTTGTCATCCAGATCTTCCCAATCTACATCTGTCATTGTAGCCGGTTTCTTCTTCTTCCCAGCTAGCGCTTTCTTCAAACCGTTCTGGGTTAGAACGGCTTCCATCTGAACCTTCCAGATAGAAAAGCTAATTTTCCCGTCGAACTTCTCGATATCGAACTTGGTAACAGTTGACATCTTTGAAAATAACTCTCAATTAAACCGCTCTGATACCACTTGTTAGGAATATAGCGGAATAATGCGGAAGCGAAGAATCGAAAATTGAGAATTATAGAAGTTAATAATAGGGAAAATATAATAAATGACGAAATAATAAAATACTAAATTGGGAGAATATAGAAATATATATATTAATCTCAAAAGAGAGAATTGAAACAATAATATATATATTTGTCTACGTAAGGAAAGCTAAAGAATTAAGGATGAATGATGAATTGATAATTGATGTAAGAGGTGATTTACAAAGCAAAGAACTACTGCTACTTATACATTCACAAAAGAGAAATAAGCGCATGAAATAAAGGATGTACATGCGCATTAGTAGCTACGTGGGAAGACAATTGCGCATGCAAATGTTGAGTGGTCTTAATGGATTGATTTGAGCCACACAAAATTATTATCCTAACATGTTTGAATGTGGTCCACTTATGCAGCATGCCCATTCCTAAATCCTAGGAGTACATTATTTTTCTCAAAAGTCATTGAAATGTCTATAAAACTATATACAGTATCAGTGTATCACATAGCATTATATCCAAAAGAGTCTCTTTCCTTCCCCCCTTTCTTATTAAAAAATTCCATCTTTCTTCTTTCAGCCCAAAGGAATCACCATTTTCAGATTTGGAAAAATGGAAAGAGCACAAGAAGAGCTTGCACTGACCCAGATAAGGAAGTCAGTTGAGAAGCTTGGTTCTTCTACAGAGGTGAAAATCATATATGATCAACTCCCCATCCTTCTCTCTTATTATTATCTCTTCTTATTCTGCTCTTGATGTCTATCCCATTTTCTTGCTTTCCGTGTTGCAGAGCTACGGTGACCCAACTCTTATGAGGTTCTTGATTGCAAGAGCAATGGACCCAGAAAAGGCAGCCAAGATGTTTGTGCAATGGCGGCAATGGAGAGCTGCTTTTGTTCCGCTCGGATATATTCCTGACTCTGAAGTGCCAGATGAACTGGAATCTAGGAAGATTTGCTTACAAGGATTATCCAAAAATGGGTTCCCAGTTATGATCGTGAAAGGTCGCAATCATTTTCCTGCCAAGGATCAACTCCAATTTAAGAGTAATGCTTTTTTACCCTTTTTCTATCTATTTTTACTGCATAGCATAGTACTTTAGGTTTTTTGTTTACAGTGGCTATATGATCCTCTTAACTAATTAATCTAGAGCTCACCATTTCACAAGATGTATAATGGACGAGTTTTTATGTAAAACTCCTAAGGATACCCTAAAGAACTATTTAGTTATTTTAGTGTGTGAGTTGTGTTTTGACAAGGGAAGATTCTAGTTTGGTTAATCTATTGATACCTTTCTAGCTTTTCTTGTTTATGAGTACTTTGGTTTTGACAAAAATGAAGCTATATAAGTTATTTAAGAGTGCTTTGCTTCTTGTCACATGATATGCCTTCATAATTTGACAATTTTGTGTTTGTTTTCATTGAGTCTTGGGAATCTTCTTTTCAAGGGAGATAATATAACTTTGTGTCACAATCAGAGCTGTTGGGTTCATTATTATTGGTCAATGTAATTATTTATAGTTTGAATAATGTGAGTTGTCAGTTGTGAGTCAGTGTCTTACTTTATTATGAGTTTTATGATGGGGTATTAGGATTTAGAAGGAGACATTTATTTGGTGTTTCTTTAATGTGATATGGTATATATTTAGGCAATGAACTATGATAGACTCCTAACTTAAGAAACTAATGAAACCGAACAATTTGAGGTTCTTGTAGTTTCTAAAGGTAAGGTTGATAACTTTTGAGTTTGGTGAGCCTGACTGTATGTCCCCCGGAGTCTGGTGAGCCTGACTGTATGCCCCCGGAGTCTGGTGAGCCTGACTTTATGCCCCCGGAGTCTGGTGAGCCTGACTGTATGTCCAGCACGACCCCCACACGGTATAGGCTTGGACTAGACTCCTAACCTCAGTTTAGAAACTAATGAAACAGAATTTTAGAATGTTGAAATTTCTAAAAGCTATATTGCTAACTTTTGAGTTTGGTGATTGTGACTGTATGTCCTCGACCTATGAGGTAGGTTTGGACCATAAAAAGCTTAACAAGTATTTTACATAGTATCTCATTTGGTAAACATATTCTGCTAGTATTTATTTGATGGTCTTGTAATTTCTAAAATAATGTCGATAATTATTGAGTTGGGTCATGGGTGAGCTTGACTTTATGTCATTGAAATGATAAAATGGCCTGAACCATAAAGTCTCACTGTTCGTTTAATTCTAACTAAATGTTTTCATTTCTTGTGCAGAATTTGTGGTTCACCTTCTAGACAAAACACTTGCAAGGTATCATTTTTGTCTTATATTTTTTACTTTAAATAGTCCTGAACGCAATTCTTTTCAGTTCTCACCTTGCAACACTTGCGTTAGGTAAAGCGAAAGTTCCCATAATTGTCATGATCAACTGAATATGTTGTTAGCAAAAAAGGCTAGTACTAGCCAACGAGTCAGAGAAGGTATTAGCAAGTAATCTGTTCCTCTGTAGAGTGGGTGCTTTTGAAGGACCGAAAGAGGTGTGAGTGAGAGGGCCAAAAAGAGAGTGGACCATAAGAGGTGTGAGTGAGAGTTTTAGACTACCAATACCAAAGACTGGTTATCCAACCAATTAGCTAGTCTAACTCATGACCTTATAAACCCATATGTTCTCTCTTATTTTATCAATGTGGGACTCTTAACACGGATGAATATTTAAACATCAATGAATGTTTTGGTTCTGTGCGAGTGCTTAATGCCTAATTTTTGTGGGGTCATTGAAGACTTGTGTTAAGTATTGGTAAGGGATAGGTTAGAGATTTTGCCCTTCATATCGGCTAACCAGTATCAGAACGTGCCTTTTTTTTCAAATAGACTTCAGGCCATGTGATTTCATTCATGACTCGTTATGAGCAGTTCAGAAGTTGTATTAGGACAAAATTTTGCCAACTCCATCGTGTTATATTCTTTATGACTTATTTTTGTTCTAACAAGAACGGGCTTTGCATCCTGCCATTGATTTTCTTCTCTTCATTTCAGTTCTTCGAAGGATGGAGAAATAGGAAGCGAAAAGTTGATTGGTATTCTTGATTTGCAGCATATTAGCTATAAAAACGTTGATGCCCGTGCACTAATCACCGGTTTTCAGTTCTTACAGGTGAGTTTCCTCGCTCCTTCGCAATATACATTACACCCTAATACAACAAACTTTCTGTGGAGCTGACTTCGAGAAAGAGAGGAAAAGTCGTATTTCAATACAACAAACTTTCCGTGGCGCTTGCTATATATTAAATTGATCTTATTCTGACTTTTATATTCTACCTTAGACAAAATTACGTTTGCCTGATTATCTACGTTTTCTGTGATTTTGTCTCCATAGGCTTACTACCCTGAACGCTTAGCCAAGTTTTACCTATTACACATGCCACTATTCTTCGTTGCTGTCTGGAAGTTGGTTTCCCGTTTCCTTGAGAAAGCAACTCTTGAAAAGGTATGCTCATATATGTGTTCATCGAGTGTTTTTCACTGCTTCCTTTCATACCGTTACCTGAAAACTCCTAGCGTTAAAAGTCATATGAACTCCAAAACGCATAATTTGCGTATGGTAGGACCGAATACTCAATACTGTCTAGGCCTATTTGTCCCTATACAGTTGAAATATGACCATACGATAAAATCAGGAACTTCACTTCATATTAAGATCGGAGAAAAATATAATTATTTTGAGCTATCGAGTCACGTTGGTTAGGATAATATGTACAGATTGTGATTGTTAGCAATGAAGAGGAAAGGTTGCAGTTGATGAGAGAAGTAGGAGAAGATGTGTTGCCAGAAGAGTATGGTGGGAAGTCAAAGTTTGTAGCTATGCAGGATGTTGTAATCAACCCTTTGGCTGTGGAAGGCTAGCTCAAAATACCCTTTGTATGAATACTTGGTCACACAACTATCTGTATCTCGAGAATTAAGAAATATTCTCAATGTAATAAATTCTTACCTTAAAATTAATAAGAAATGCAATAATTTATTTAAATTCGATGAGTATTGTAATAGCTTGTCATATATTATGGAATGTTGATGTTGTGCACTTATGAAGCACATTGAGTTTCCAAGCCAAAGTCATGTGTGCACAAAGAAATTTTAATTTATGAATTTTGGACTAAAAAAAAGTAATGAAATACTTTAATAATTTACCTAAATTGGATTGTTTTCTTAAAAATGTTGAATCCCAAATCTAAGGGCTCGACAGATAGTTGTGTGGACCAACTGAGCTGTCCATGTGAACTAAATTGCAATGTTTTTCTTCCAAAGGCTGAACCCCAACCTTAAGGGCCCCCCACACTCCGGCCCGACAAAGCATTTGGGAGGATGGTGACTCAACTGAACATGAATCACCGCTCACTGCGCACAAGGGGCCCCCTGTTTTTCTTCCAAAGGCTGAACCCCAACCCTAGCTCACTGCGCACAAGGGGCCCCCTGTTTTTCTTCCAAAGGCTGAACCCCAACCCTAAGGGCTCCCCACACTCCGGCCCGACAAAGTATTTGGGAGGATGGTGACTCAACTGAACATGAACCACAAAGGCTAGACCGGTGCTCACTGGGCACAAGGAGCTCCCTCAGTGCCGCTGATGAGACTCGATCCTGATCATTCTTCTAAAATTTCACCTCTATGACCAATTGAGCTACCCATGCGGGCAAATTGTATTGTTTTGAGTTGATGGAAAGTTGTAACCACCTAGTACGGAGTAACATATTGTTTAGCACTACTATATTAGATTGACGAGGAACATGCCAAACTTGTTTTCTCCGTAAAACTCTACTCCAAATCCATACTATAATAATGGACTTCTTCTGCCTTCTATTCCGCCATTCTTATTTCCTCCCTTTCTCCTTAAACCCTCCCGCCGCCGTCGCCTCCGACAATGAAGCTCTCAACTCTTTCTCTTCGCCACCACCAATTCCTCCCCGGCACCGCCGCCATCCCCACTCCCCGTTCCATTTCCTCCTCCGCCTCCGCCTCCCGCGTCCGCATGTCGCTTCGTGAGGACGCCCCCTCAGTCGCCATCGTCGGCGTCACCGGCGCCGTGGGCCAGGAGTTTCTCTCCGTCCTCTCCGACCGCGACTTCCCGTACCGCTCCCTCAAGCTCCTCGCCAGCAAGCGCTCCGCGGGGAGGGGCCTCGCCTTCGAAGGCAAGCAGTACACCGTCGAAGAGCTCACCGAGGAAAGCTTTGAAGGCGTCGACATTGCTCTGTTCAGCGCCGGCGGGTCTATTAGTAAGAAATTTGGCCCGATAGCGGCTCGGAAGGGGACCATTGTGGTGGATAACAGCTCTGCTTTTAGGATGGACGATGGCGTGCCGCTAGTGATCCCGGAGGTTAATCCAGACGCCATGGCGCATATTAAGGTCGGGTCTGGGAAGGGAGCGATCATTGCCAATCCCAATTGCTCCACCATTATTTGCTTAATGGCCGCCACGCCGCTTCATCTCCGGGCTAAGGTGAGAGAGTTGTATACATTTTTGTATTTCATTTCAATGTTCTGCTTCTTTTAATGTTTCCTCTGCAAATTTAGGTTAATTCTTAGCTATTCTCTGGTACGAGATTGTTTTAAATTAAAGGAGGAGACTATTCATGATTGCAATTGGGCACCAGGTGACTAGGGAATTGTTAGGCGACCCGAAGGCACCTTGCCCTTATATCTAATAAAGTTAGGCCTTACCTTATCTACTAGTTATAACATTTAGTAGGCATAAGGAATAGAGTTGCGCCTTAACTACTAGCTATAAGCCCTTGATCCTAACAACATACCCTCTTCTTAAATATCATAGGAGTTTGTCCCATTCACATATTCAAATCATTTAGCTAATAGTTAATTGGGGGTGTTTGATAAATGGTGGTTAACTTATTGGGTTAGTGAGTTTGACTAGTTGATAGCATTAGCTGATTGTAGAAAAGTGTTTGGTAAATTAGCTTATTATGACTTTCTCAACAAGCTGATCGAAAAAACTACTTTGAGCAGCTTTTTGAATTTTAGCATTTTAGAGTAATAAGGTGTTACAAAAAACTAATTAATCACACACTCATATTGATTGTTTAACCAAGTTAAACAGCTAATAGTGGTCAAATAAGCCAAAATTGGCTGATAGGCTAATTATTTTACCTAACAGGGCCAATAGCTCAATAGCTGACTAGCTGATTGATTTTCCCCAAGTTGATTGTTTTAGCTGTTTTGATCAGCTAATAACATTAGCTGATTATAGAAAGATGTTTGGTGCTTCTCCGGTTAATCTTCGACAGCTCAATAACCTCCAAAACGAATAGAAAATCACTTTTATACACAACGTTCATTGTTTTACAGGTTAAACGTATGGTCGTTAGCACATACCAGGCTGCCAGTGGGGCTGGTGCTGCAGCCATGGAAGAGCTTGTTTTGCAGACTCGTGAGGTTTCCTGTCATCTTTTCCCGCTTTTGCATTGTATAAGTAGTCTATTTAGAGGTAACTTTTCATTGAGGGTTCTGATCACTTTCTTTATCTAAAGTAGGTCTTAGAAGGGAAAGAACCAACCTGTAACATCTTTAAGCAGCAGGTTTGTCCGGTTTCCTCCTACACGATACTACAATACTACATGTTTCATCTAATGTAAAATGTTGCGTTGTTTCTAATTATTGTAAACTTATTGACCGACAGTATGCTTTCAACCTATTCTCACATAATGCATCTATTCAATCAAATGGTTACAATGAAGAGGAGATGAAATTGGTAAAAGAGACTAGGAAAATATGGGTAATGGTTTCTTCTTCGCCTATGACCTCCTGTCTGAGATCTTTCGTGCAAAAGTGCTTATTAAATAAGCTTCTTTATTCCGTTGTAGAACGACAAGGATGTTAAAGTGACGGCAACGTGCATACGAGTTCCAGTTATGCGTGCTCATGCCGAGAGTGTGAATCTTCAATTTGAGAAACCCCTCGATGAGGTAATGCTTTGTTCTTAGTTTATGATATTGTTAACCGACTTTAGTTACTCTTGTGGTGGGGAACTGGAGGCGAGGATTAGTCTGACATAAACGGAGAATTCCATTCTTGCTATTGTGTTTTCCTGATTACCCAGGAGACGGCTAAGGATATTCTCAAGAATGCACCGGGCATAGTAGTCGTTGATGATCGAGCTGCAAACAGATTTCCCACCCCACTCGAAGTTTCCAACAAAGACGACGTTGCAGTTGGGAGGATACGACGTGACATTTCCCAAGATGGGGACTACGGGTAAAGCCCCGTCCCAATGATACTTAATTTATCGTACTCGATCTTTTGTCTAAAAATCTCACACTTTACCTGTTTGGTTCTGAGAAGGTTGGACATCTTTGTCTGTGGTGATCAAATACGCAAGGGAGCTGCCCTTAACGCTGTTCAGATTGCAGAGAAGCTGCTATAGGTTGAATACACACAGCCAAAAGAAAATTTTACCATCTCACTTGAATGCCCATAAAAGGGCAGATTTATTGGAACAGTTTTTATTTTTTGCCTGTGGAGTTATGAATGTTGTCCATGTTGCAGAGTAGATTTTTGTTTGAAAGTTTTAATAAAAATTAAAGATATGTTTTATTTGAAGATTTTGGAGGTTTACATTCTGCATGTGTTGCATTGTCCTTCTTCTTATAAATACTGTCTACTGAACCAGTAAACTAAACCTGTGCGGACTTTGTTGCCTTGTCGTAGTAGGTAGATAAGAGATTTCTTTATCACATAATATTTGGACACATAAATTAATTAGTTTCTTTAGGAGCTTAATAATGTCATTACCCATAAATGCCATAATGCCATTGAGGAATTTGGTCCAACAGAAAATTTGGAAAAATAACCCATAGCTTCACTTAACCCTTCAAGCGATTTATCTCCTCATCATAAAGTTTAGAATGAGTCTATGAGGTTCAAATATAGTTAAATTTGGGAATTATGGTTATAGAAAAAAGAGTTTGATTTATCTCCTCATCATAAAGTTTAGAATGAGTCCACGAGGTTCAAATATAGTTAAATTGGTAGTTAAAGCGAGGAAAAAAAGTTAAGATTGTCAATAAAAATTAATCTAATTTAGAGTTTTTTTTGAGTGACCAGTGAAACCCGCTTACTAGCAAATGATCATAATAAGGTAAATCAGTCTAAATTGTTCATAAATGATCAATTTAATCAAGAAATCAATAGACCGCTCTTGTGAGGGTGTCGAACTTATAATATATTAATATTGTGGTTATTTCCTTAAAAGCATGATCTACCGAATTTGTAAGAAAGAATGTCATATAATCAAGCTATAGTTGATTAAGGATGTCTACAGTGAAAAATATATTCAATGCATATTTTGCACGTATATATCTTTTTGCGCTGGCCAACAAGACATGTGAATGGATCGAATAAGAAAAAAAATATTTTTTTTAAATATTTTTTTTAAAAAGTTATTGGTTGTCGGCATTGAAGACTGCTCCGACCGTGGCCGAATTCGTCCCATGATGATATCCGGCATCCACGTAGCATCTTTTCGGCCTTGTCGCTGCGACGTAGGACTGACCAGGCTGTAATGATGATGGAGAGGGTGGCTGTTCAGCGGTGTGAGCTATAGTGTCGTGGGCGATGTGCTCGGCTGGCATTGGTTGTTCGGCAACAACGGTGGCCGCCTGGGCAGTGTGTTCGGCGGGCGTATGAGCGACTGTTCAGTGATGGACAATCCGCCATGCTTGCATGGTGGCGGTAGCAATTGCAAGTACTTTCTTCGGCATTGGTAGATAGGCATCCCAAACAGCTCCAAATGTGATATAAGATTGCAGCTGTGTAAATAATTCCATTAGTGTCTAGAACATTTAAGATTGCACTAAACCATTCCTAGAAAATATTTGTCACAATATTTAGGAGTGGAAGGTTGGATTAAGTCCATATGGATCTTACATAATCACACAAAACCAATGAGTGTATAGTGTCCTCACTAGAGATCCCACACATGGCACACATCGGATTAACCTCTACCCTCTTTATAAGCAAATTGTTAGTAGTGAGAAGATATCACTTATAGCTCTCCATAGAAATGTTTTTCATTTAGGTGGGATTTTGATCTTCCATTTATGGCTTAAATCTCTTTATTTATATTCAAATTGAGATCTTAATTTAAAAAAGACGAAGATACCCTTAATAATTTCATATTAAGATCGGAGAAAAATATAATTATTTTGAGCTATCGAGTCACGTTGGTTAGGATAATATGTACAGATTGTGATTGTTAGCAATGAAGAGGAAAGGTTGCAGTTGATGAGAGAAGTAGGAGAAGATGTGTTGCAAAAGAGTTTGTTGTAGCTATAAGCTAAGAGACAAGAAAACTGGGGGGCTTCTAGGCTATAAGAGAAGCTTTCTTTATCACAACAAAGAGGAACCCATCAAAATCGAGAATGGGTTATGAAGGAATTTTATTTGATGATACCAAAGACACGGTCCTGTGCAGGATTCACAAGAAAAAAAGAAGGGGTGAATCAAAACAGAGTAAGGATATTCCCATTGACACCATTTTGCAAATTTTAGAGGGTTCAACTGAGCAAATGAAGTGTATACTTTAAATCATGAATGTTTTGTGATATAGTAATAAAATTTTTAACTCATGCTTCACCTGAGAAGCTTATATTAAAAATTAAATTTTCAATATTAGTGTTTGCCATTTTGCTGTCCTATTGACCTAGAAGTTGCGAAATGACAACCTTGAGATAACAAGCAATAGGAGGCAGTAAAAATCTTCACAACTAGTTTCGCGTTACCTGCATCTATCTGATTCATTACTTCATTTTGTCAAAGATTTTTGCCTTGAAATTCAGGTTCAAATTCGCCAGTCTTCCAAAACCAGTAATAGCAATGGTAAAGTATGTGTCACTATAGGTTGAATACACACAGCCAAATTGAAATGCAGGTTCAAATTTTGCTGCTATAGGTTGAATACACACAGCCAAAACAAAATTTTACCATCTCACTTGAATGCCCATAAAAGGGCAGATTTATTGGAACAGTTTTTATTTTTTGCCTGTGGAGTTATGAATGTTGTCCATGTTGCAGAGTAGATTTTTGTTTGAAAGTTTTAATAAAAATTAAAGATATGTTTTATTAGAAGATTTTTGAGGTTTACATTCTGCAGGTGTTGCCTTGTCCTAGTAGGCAGATAAAGGATGGGTAACACTTGTGTGAGACCATTTCACCGGTCTCAATTCGCGAGACAGGTCGAATCTTTGATGCCATTGAAGAATTTGGTCCAATAAAAAAGTTGGAAAAAACTCATAGCTTCACTTAACACTTAGTTCAAGCTATATGGTAGGGTTTGATTTATCTCCTCATCATAAGTTCAGAATTAAGTTTAGAATGAGTCCATAAGGTTCAAATATAGTTAAATTTGGGAATAATGGTTATAGAAAAAAGAAAAGTGAGGAAAAAAAGTTAAGATTGTGGTCTAATGGCATCCGGGTTGCACTCTCATATAGGAGGGTGTGAGTTCGAGTCTCAGTTGAATTGAAAAAGTAGTATGAATAGAGATACTACATTGTAATAGTGTCGTCTCGAATGTCATATAATTAAAGTAGTACTACATTGTAATAGTGTCGGAGTATCGTATCTTTTTGCGCTGGCTAACAAGACTATTAAAAGACTACTACTTCTGAAAACTACTAAAATGACTATGTATGACGAATTTAATTGAGAATATGTTGATTAAACCCGTAACCTTTTGATACAAAAATCATGCTTTACCTGGCCACTTAGTCACCCATTTTGGAGCAGCTAAGACATACTTTTAACTTTACAAATCATGACTTCCAAACGGAAAAAAATGTTTATAGCTTGTGGTGTATGTAGCATAGAATGCACATAATTTGTGATGCATGTAAGAATCCTAATCTACAAGTCACTCTTGTGATCAATTAAACAAGAATTAGAACAAGAAATTGTTCAACTCTTGTGATACATCAACTCCAAATTTTTTGAAGCATAAAAATATCCAAGACCCCAAATTATTCCCATTTTAATAGAAATAAATTAGGTTTAATTTAGGTAAGGAGTGACTTTAGTCCTTGACACAACTCTCGTTATAGCAAAAAGTTTTTTAAAAGCATGCCAATGAATTTTGTACAGAAACATCTACAATATACTGCACAAGCACAAACCCTTCATAATTTCAATAATTCTAGGTTAGACATTTTTCCTTTTATGCAATAATCATAAATATAGCGTGTAGATAGATAATATAATCATAACTCAAAGCACAGAAACAAACTACTCACACATATACATAAAGAATACAAAATATATAGCAAGAACAATGAGTAAATTGCATAAATAGAAGTTAAGGAAATTAAAACTTATCTATTGATGGATGATAAATCTTGGAATTCAAGCATCAAATATTCAATTACAAGCTATAAAAATGTAATGTAACATAAATCTAAATTTAATCTAACCCTAAATTACGCTCTATCACGGCTTGGCCTTCGTCGGATTTTTTGCCAGAACGGAGCGTCGGTCGCCGGAATTGAAATGACTTGTAATACTAGGTCAACTCAATTTGACATGTTAAGAATTTAATTGTATTTTTTTAAAGTCTAAGTGCCCAATTCACCCTTTTTTTCTTATATTAATGATAACCCACATTTATTTTTTTTAATGTGGGACAAAGGCTCATAATGATTAAGGTAAATTTTATATATTTATTTGCTCATAATGATTAAAGGGTGAATGTGAGATTCTCAAAGTAAAGTGTACCGTGTCAAGCAGGCAAGTTTGGAGGATTACTATTTTTGAATCAAATTATTTGAATTGCTACACCCAATGCCAAATAGTAATACAATTTTCAAAGCACAATATTCTTTTTTAACATGCCAAGGACATTGTGGTCTAGTGGCACTAAGTTGTTTTCCCATATGAAAGGTTATTGGTTCGCTTCTCCGTTGAGGCGGTATTGACTCTTTGTGCTTTAGTAAGTTGAGAAAATAGTTATGAACAGATACAACATTGTAACAGAGTCACTAATGCTCCACAAAAAAAAAAAAAAAAAAAAAAAAAAAAAAAAAAAAAAACATCTTTTAACATGATGTTGGGGTAATATGAAGCAAGCAAAGAAGTATTCTGTTTTTGCAAACAAGGTAATTAAAGTCAATAAGATTATTGACAATGTAGATTGAGTGTATAAGTGGTTGTTTATAAGGTATAAAAAAAATGAATTAAACAAAAAAAAAAAAAAAAAAAAAACACCTTTTTTTTTTTTTTTTAATTTCAGCTAAAAAAGATATTTTTTGATTTAAAACCCGATGGATATATTAGAATATGCCCCGGAGCGAATTGACTCGAGGAGGAGGACAAGAGCGATCCGGGTCAAGCTCGTAGCTGTCGATCTCAGCCTCGGTCTTGGGCGTCCAAAGTGACCAAGGCGGGCCTTGGCCTTGGTCGGGCGACGCAGTCAAACTGTAATTGCCCTCCCTATTTGCATGAGCCGGTTACGGGGCAATCTATATCCTTAGTATATATTCTCATTGTTTGTCTTGCTTAGATATCACAATCTCTTGTAATCTCATTACACAATTGATTAATACAATACCTTTTATCTTTTCCACTTATCATCTTGTCATTATTTTTATCATATATTTATTAATTTAAATAATTAGCTCACTCCTTTCAAAAAATAATTACATGGCGTTTGGTTGGAGGGAATTTAAATTCCATTCTCACTTAATTCCTACCTAATTCCAAAAGTCACTAAATTTCTTAGTTTGGTTGGAAGGAATTTCAATTCCATTTTCATGGAATTAAAATCCAATGCCCCCCTTGGGATTTTAATTCCATGGATCTTGGGAAGAAAAAAAAAATAATGATGAGACAAAATTACCCTCCCTTTTTTAACCTAAAATTGATGTCTAACAACAACAATTGACATTTTGGACTTTATACTACTTATTCCCTTTTAATTCTCATGTATACCAAACATTGAAATTTTCATAATTTTATTCCTGTAAATCAAACACTGAAATTTAAATTCCCACTTTATTTCCAGTAATTCATCTTCCATGGAATTGTAATTCTTTTCTCACGTAATTCTCTCATTCCAACCAAACGCCCCGTTAGGTCACTCAGGTTAATTAATTCCATAAAAGCCAAACACCAAAATATAATCATGCGTGTTTTAAAATTTATTTTTTAGAAAACTTTTTTTTTTTTTTGTGTGTGCGTTTTTATTTTTTAATCGACCCTTATTCGATCGTCACAAAAGACATTCTCTTAAGGCTGGGTTTTGCATAAACGTCATGGGGTGTACGTCATCAAGGCACAAGGATAAATTCTTTGCTTAGTGGGTAGAGGAGATGTTTAGAATATACGTAACATTAAACATGTTTGTTTCCATTCTTCTCATTCTCACCTTTTCATTTTAATATTCCCATTCTTTTTATTTATTTAAAATCTTCATAAAAAATTACTGTTGGATGATTCTTTCTTTACCGTGGAGTCATATAATACGTACTAAAACAATATTAAATCTAGTAGTTGCATACGTACTAAATGATCCTTCCTTTGATCTTTGGCATATATGGAATATTTATACGACAATGAAATAATGTTTATTTGTTCCTTAAATATTAATCTGGTTGTGTATGTATTTTTAGGGTCGGGAGTAAAATTTTTGTCATATGTCTTATTTTATTGGAAGAAAAAAAAGAGAGTAAAAACTGTGACCCATTTATTTAATTCCTTAGATATCAATCAGGGTATTTTTATGTTATTCGGGAGTTAAAAATGAAGTAGTAGGTAAGACTACATGCGCTAAAAACTATGTTCGAGTTCGAGTATTGTCAATATTCACTTGGTCGAGTCCGTTAGTTGCATAACGTCTTCTTATTGTGATATACATTTCAGTGTGATTTGTAGGCTATTATAGAGAAGCGGAGTTTATTCAGCAATTCAGCACACACTCTCAAATAGTGGTTGCAGTTTCCCTTGCCACCCAACAACAAAAATATCTATACTTGTGGCAAAAGGTGGAATTGTCCACCTCATACACCCCCACACCCTGACCTGACAGTTTGTGATTAAAAAAAAAAAAAAAAAAAAAAACCTATGCTAATTGTATTGGCCCCTTTTATCCATATAATTTATGATTGAAATTCATGAAAAGAATATAATAGAAAGGAAAACAACTTGTTTTAAGTAAGGAATTTGACCGTACCATCAATTAGCCGCCCTCCTAGGTTGTCTTAGATAGATTTTCTGCTCTCCCTCTCTCTATATAAAGACACACACAAACACACCAAATATATAGGTGCATACATATCTTTCTGTACGTATATATAGCATATCCACGTAAAAAAAAAACCACTGCTCTGATATGGTGTTTTTTACTGTTTGATCATATATATAACCATTTTCTCTTCTTGAAGCTGTTTGATATTATTAGAGAGGTGTTGAGCACTGAGGATAGGTAATTAAACTCCAAAACCCAATACATAAACACAATTACCTAGTTACAATTTTGCTTTTTCTATTTTGTTAAGGTTGTTTTCATGCTTGATTCATCATCAAACCAATGAACACATCTATGAAACTTGATGTACATTGTGGAAGCATGTTCTTTTATATACACTAAGGACAATGGTGAATGTTTATGAATGAGTATGTGAATATGATGAATTAATTATCCAAATATTGCATAAATGTGAATATCAAATTCTAATTAACCAAACATAAGATTACCAAGCAAGATTTTATGTGATGAGCATCAAATTGTTGGATTGTTTGTTCAATTTTTGCACAATCATTATATTTGATGTGGATACATGTCATGCATGCAAATGATAACCCAATTTGGAGGGGATGAATTTTTGTTGGTTTGTCTTTATGAAAATCTATCGTACATGAGTTATCTAGAATATTGTTCGTGTGCACTCTAAGAAGATTAGTGAAAACTTCGATCGGTGTACAGATTCCCACGCTTTCTAAAGGTATTATTCTTCTTTGATCTTATTGAATTCACAAGAAACTAGATTGACTGTCTATTATTAGCTCGAGTACCCTATCCTAAAAGGTATTCATCACAATTACAAATTAAACACTTACTCTGATGTAAGATTTGTCTACTATCTAATGAACGTAAATCCCGTCTTGTGATCTTTGCTGGTAAAGGATCACAAAAAGGTAAATCAGCTTAAGTTATCCATAGCTGACAAGCTCAAATCAAGAAAATCAATAAGTCGCTCCAGTTAGAATTGAATTTGTAATCTTGTGATTACCAAGTATTTAAACTATGAATTTGAATTGTGTCTATCAGATCAGTTTATTTACTTACATATATATTTTGAAACATTTTATGTAGGACCTGACCTTTGAAGAAGTTGCTGTTTGTGTATCTATCTATCAACATATACATACATTAGATACATGGGAAAGACAATTCTGGTGTTTGGGTTCTCAGAGATGGTGTCTGCAGAGGCAACCAAACAGTGCATAGAAGAATTTACAGGAAAGGGGAGCATTTTCGCCTTGCAGATGAAGATGACGAAAGGAATGAATCCCAAACCTTTCGCCATCGTCCAATTCAAAACGGATGAGAGCGCGGGACAGATTCTGGATTTGGCCAACCGACACCAAACGTTGTACTATCGCGAATCGTTGTTGACGGTTAAGGAACTGGAAACTCCCATTGTGGAGCCAAGAATTTACGCCCACGAAATTGACACAACGCCCGTCTGCTTTGGGTGTAAAATCGCCGAGGACAGGTTTTGTGTCCTGTGGAGAAAGCTTGATGTCAGCGTCAAGTTCGGGATTGGGTTTAAGTATGTTTCCTTGTTCTTGTTCTATCATAATGATCAGTATAAGCTTCAGCTCTCGTATGAAGATATCTGGAGGGTCACGCAGCATTTCCCCCGGGGGAAGAATTCTAAGTTCCTCGTTATACAAGTACGTTCCTAGTCGGATTAGTCTAGTTTACTCATAGCTGAATTTATCGGTTCAAAATATACATATGATATATCCAATTTAGGGGTCTGGGTATGTCCCACTTATGGGGTAAACCTGCCTTATGACCTAGTCAGTGAATGGCCTAGCCTCAAGAAAGTAAATATATAGCCTAAGTTGCCCATCAAAACTAAAAATATACATGGTATATATATTTCGGACTTACGAGGTAAACTTACTTTGTTACCCTAGTCGACAAAAGATCTCAGTGGGGTTGCAAGTTACAAGGTAACCCTAGTCAACAAAGGATCTTAGTGGATAAACCTACCTTGTAACGTAATTCTAGTCAATAAAGGATCTTAGTGGATAAACCTACTTTGTAATGTAACCCAGCAAAAGACTACACGGTACTAGATAAACATGTTTTGTGACTCTAGTAGGCAAGATTTCATGGAGGTAAACTAGCTAAGTTACCCATAGAGAACCAATTCAAATTAAGAAGACAAATAAGCTGTTAGGATGTATATCTTTGTACTTACTAAGTGAACAATATAATCTGGTTAATTTGGTTATGGTGGCCTAAAGGTCCAACTTTCTTTGTTTTTTTTTTTTTTTTTTTGAATATATTGACTGGTATACCTGTGTTGTTTCAGTTGTTTGCTGCTCCGAGGATCTATAAGAAGACTGAAGTTGAAGACTCCGTGAACACGTTCTATCTGGAAGCTCCGGAAGATCAATGGGTAAGAACAACAGATTTCACACAAAATTGCATCATCGGACAATCCACCGCCTTGTGTTTGCAGCTTCCATGGAATGCCTACCTTCCAAATTTTGGCCACAGTTTCGCAAACTACAATGAAGCTAAGAGTCCCTTCCATCTCGACGATGGTTCCTCCTTTTCTTCCAACTCGTCTCTGGTTCCGATTGTGAATCCTCCGAGCGGACTCGATTTGCCGTTCAAAGTAGTGTTCAAGATCTGCTCTCTGGTTCAGCACGGGTGCATTCCGGGGCCGGCGCTGGACGAGAAGTTCTTCCAGTTGGTTGATCCGAAGAAGTTTGAGATTGAGCGAATCGAGTATGCGTTGGAGAGAATGCAGAGTGTGAAGGATTGCGATTACGATCCTGCAAAATTGTTTACGCAGGAGTACAAGAGGTTTAAGCAGCAGCGGAAAAGGCCGGCGAGAAGCATGGACGAAGGGATTGCGTATGTCCGACGCGTTTCTGTTACTCCGATCAGAGTTTATTTCTTCGGACCGGAGGCGAATATGTCCAACCGCGTCTTGCGCCAGTTCCGCGGCGATATTGATCGCTTTCTCCGCGTCTCGTTCGTGGACGAGGATTTGGAGAAAATGCACTCGGTGGATCTGTGCTCGCGCCAGTCGTCTTCCGCCGGCGACGTCTCCAGGACGGAGATCTATAACAGGATTCTGACCACGCTTGAGAACGGGATCGTGATCGGAGACCGGAAGTTCGAGTTTCTGGCGTTTTCGTCCAGTCAAATTAGGGAGAGCTCTGTTTGGATGTTTGCTTCGAGATCTGGGCTTACTGCCGCCGATATCCGAGAATGGATGGGAGATTTTCGGAACATAAAAAACGTCGCGAAATACGCCGCCAGGCTCGGCCAATCGTTTGGTTCTTCCAGAGAAACTTCCAGCGTCGAAAGCAACGACATGGAACTCATCCCCGACGTAGAGCTGCAGAACGACGACGGCACGAAATACACCTTCTCCGACGGGATCGGTAAGATCTCCGCCGAATTTGGCAAGAAAGTCGCCGAAAAATGCGGCCTGAAAAAACCGCCGTCCGCTTATCAAATCCGTTACGGCGGTTTCAAAGGCGTCGTGGCCGTAGATCCAACTTCAACCCGGAAACTGTCCCTGCGAAAGAGCATGCTGAAATACGAATCCGGCAACACAAAGCTCGATGTTCTGTCATGGAGCAAATACCAGCCGTGTTACCTGAACCGGCAAATCATCACTCTTCTGTCCACGCTAGGGATCGGCGATCAAGTGTTCGAGCGGAAGCAGAGGGAGGTTGTGAGCCAGCTGGACGATATGCTCACCGATCCAAACAAGGCGCAGGAGTTTCTGGAGCTGATGCCGCCGGGAGAGCACGCGAATGTGCTCATCGAGATGCTCCGGTGCGGTTACAAGCCGAACGTGGAGCCGTTCCTGTCCTCGATGTTGCAGACGATCAGGGGAACGAGGTTGCAGGAGCTGAGGACGAAGACGAGGATATTTATCCCCGACGGGAGGTCGATGATGGGGTGCCTCGATGAAACGGGAACGCTGGATTACGGTCAGGTGTTTATTCAATACTCCGGCGCCGGACGCCGACACCCTCATCTCTCCGCCGTTTCTAGATACAACTCCGACGGCATCATTTTGGGACCCGTTGTCGTCGCTAAAAACCCATGCTATCATCCCGGCGATGTCCGTGTTCTCAAAGCTGTTGATGTCCGTGCTTTGCACCATATGGTTGATTGCATTGTTTTTCCCCAAAAGGGTAATAGGTATGCAATCTTTCTACACCCTACATTTTTTTAATGACCATCAAACCCTTTCCCCTGAAGGTTGAATCTCAACCCTAAGGATTCCCATACCCCGACCCGACAGAGCATCTAGAATTCAATAGCTGCATGTGCATACAGGTCAGAATCTGTTCACTTTACCAGCTGAAATTCGAATATTGGTCACTTTTCTCAAATATAAATACTACATGCATACTGAACCAATTAAACTAATGCTGACCATGAAACCCTTATTTGAGGGTATGATGTGCACCGGATAAATCCCACACTTGCATAATATATAAATTAGATTGAGAGGATATTTCTATACATTTCATTTTCCTATATAATACTGATATTGACATCTAACTTAATCACACTAATTCAATTACACAATCTTTAATTTCTCTCTCTATATATATTAAGCATTCATGGATGGCCTGAAATTAAAGTAATTTTGCAGTTTATAATCCTTTTTTTATGGTCTTGTTTAATTTGGATGACAGACCACATCCAAATGAATGTTCTGGGAGTGATTTGGATGGTGACATTTACTTTGTTTGTTGGGACCCTGACCTTATTCCAAAGAGGATTGTATCACCCACGGATTATACACCGCCTTCTGTAATAACATTGGACCATGATGTTACTATTCAGGTAATTTTCCAGACTCAACTAAAATGTTAAGTTATAATAAAGTTATATTTTTATTATTATATATAGTATACCTATATATTATATGTTGCTAATGTATGTGTTCCTTAATTTTCTCATCAGGAAATCCAGAAGTATTTTGCAGACTACATTCTAAACGACAATTTAGGAGTAATTTCGACGGCCCATGTCGTGTTTGCCGACAAAGAACCGGACATGGCTCTGAGTGAGCCCTGTTTAGAACTGGCTCGCATATTCTCAATCGCAGTTGACTTCCCCAAGACAGGCGTTCCGGCCGAGATACCGTTCAACCTGCGCGTGAAGGAGTATCCGGATTTCTTGGAAAAGCCCGGGAGGGCCTCCTACGAATCCCAGCGAGTTATTGGCAAGCTGTTCCGGCAGGTGAAGGACATCTCCGCCAACTGGAGCTTCATCAGCCCTTTCACCTTGAAAGCGGCCAAGAAATGCTACGATCCCGCCATGGAAGTCGACGGCTTCAAAGATCATATCCAGGAAGCGTTTGATTACAAAACCAGGTACAATTTGTTCTTATCCCAAAAGGTTGAATCTCCAATCCTAAGGGCCCCACACTCCGACGAGGATGTAAATAGGTGACTAAATGGTTAGTAGACCGGACCCACTGTCACTGCCGAGGTTCAAACTTTAGTCTCTTATCCCAAATACTGCCTAAACTATTGAGTTAAGCCTGTGCAGGTGGTACAATTTGTTCTGTCTTGACAACCGGAAACCCACAAACATTACCAGAAAGTTATATTTTCGCTACTAGCTATCTTAGCTGCTTTATTTTGGCGTAGTATTTAGTAAGTGCTTGATCCTAACAGGTTTGACGAGAAGCTGGTAAGTCTGATGGATTACTATGGCATAAAAACGGAGGCGGAGCTACTGACGGGGCGGGTCATTGATCCGGCGGCGAGGTTATACGACCGGAGAAGGGACGGCGAGGCGGTGATTTTGGCGGTGAAGTCGCTGAGGAAGGAGGCACGGTCGTGGTTCTACGATCAGAGAGGCGGGGCGAGAGGTGAATCGAACGAATTGAGGAAGAAGCAGAGGGCGTCCGCATGGTACCATGTGACGTATCACCATTCTTTCTGGGGGCGGTACAGGGAAGGGAGGAATCATGAACACTTCATCAGCTTCCCATGGTGTGTTTATGAGGTTCTGATTAAGATAAAGAAGGAATACACGGGCAGTATATGGGATACCCTGAATTTTACTTCAATCGAATGGCTGTGTAATATCTTCTGATCTGATCTGCATGTAATAGCTAACCGTGTATATATTCATGCATGCAGCTTTATGTAATTATCCAAAGGACAACATTGTAATATATTTAATTTGGATGTAATTGTAATTAATTCTCATTTATTGTCCCATCAACGTATTTAAGTATGGTGTTCTATCAAATTAGGTGTGTCGTAACATAGTCATTACGATTTCTGTTGTCCTATGTGCTCCATTTGGTCAATTATATATATATATATATATTACTCTTTTTGATGCACAAAAACATACGTCCAATATTTATATTTTTTAAAATAACTAATTGATGGGGTGTGAACCCCGTGGGCTCGGGGTCCAAGAGGAAAAAAGATAAAGCCCAGACAGAAGGGAAGTGATACTGCTAAATACACGCAAGCAATATAAAATAACCCGAGATCGATTAAAGCGAATAAAAGACTTTATAGATCACGGTAAAGGCCCTAAGTATAATCTACTTGGTTGCTCTGAGTACCGACTGACTGCGGTCGGGATGCTCTAGTAACAACCTATCGATCGTCCAAAAGTCCCTTACACTGTAGCTACTGTGGGTATTTATAGCCGCTATGCCAGGGACAGGATTCCAGCCGTTCGGCATGTCCTCCACGTAGCCACCACGTGTCATCCTCCCGGGTGCCCTGTCTGTCGTCGTGAAGAGCCGTCACGTGTCCTTTTGCCAGCTCCCTCGCCAAAGGGCTACCGCTCGGTGGTCGACACAAGCGCTCGGGCAATTCCCGGTCGCTTCCCGACCGGGGTTTTCATGGAAGGCCCGACCTGCTACCTGCAAAGACAAAAAGACATAGACAAAGGCAAGTCGGTCGTGGTGGAGCTTATGTCGGTCGGGATATTCCCTACCAGGAAGCCCAAGAAGAAAATGGAGCAAGCCCAAAAGAGATACGAGCCAAACCGAGGAGTCGGTTGGCCCAGGAGTCGGCTCGACCCGGAGGTCGGCACGGGTAGAGGGTCAGACTAACTAGCCGTTATTCCTAATTATCTACCCTTAAAAGTCCTATTTATCTACCTCATCCATAACCCCCCCAAATAAAGGCTACCTATTAAGTCTCCCACTTATTATCCCACTAATAACCAAGTTAATACCTATTAACTACCCTACTAAATGGTCCAACGGACACTTTTGGGGATGGGCTAGCTATAAAAGGAGGAGAAGACAAGAAGAAAATGGGGGGATCCATTCATTCATCTACACACATGGGAGGACTCTCCCAAATATTATCCTCCCACTCACCATCCTTTCTCTCATAGAATACTACACCACTCTCCCAAGAGAAGGCAATTTCACATACACAACAAGAAGGTTATCAAGAAGACTTCATTCTACCAAAAGAAGCATACTCCATCTCTATATACAAAATAGCCATACAACATGTACAAAGACACCTACAAAATACATAGTGGAATTAGGCTTGGCACCGCCCAAAAAGGCCCGTGGTTTTCACCTTTCGGTTTTCACGTCAAAATCATCGAGTCATATTTCTTCTATTTTAGTAGCCTTATTATGAAAGGTGAATCCACCAACCACAGGTTGTGTTGGACCTCCTTGGGCCCGAAAACCCAAAAACCAACACTGGCGCCGAATAAATGGTTCCCCCACCACGACCTTAACGGTAGACACCGTGGTCATAATTACTTTATCCGCTGTTATTTTTGATCATGTAGAAAGTCTTGGTATATTGAAACACCTAAGCAGTGTGATTCCAGTTTACATTAAAAAAAAAAAAAAAAAAAAAGAGAAATTATAATGTGGCAATTCAAAGTTATACTCACAAGTGCATGGAGTCAGTGCGTTGAGGAAGATTATTTTATAATATGTGAAAGTTTTGGGTCTGCACACATAATGCTACGTAGCACTACGGTGATGGGCATAAAAAGGGGCAATTTTTTATTCTATTCCCCAAGTAAATTTGTGTATGGAAATAGCAAGGTCCTGCACATAGTCTTTATCACAAGCACCCATGGAGAATCCAAACCCTGAATATGGAGGAGCAGTCGGCAAAGGAGTTTCTTACACGCAGCACATGCAATATTCTTTGGGTACATCTATACGTGATAAGCATGGCAAATACAGATCATATACGTGGAAATCTCTGCAACAGACAACAAACATGAGCTTTTTATAAGGAAAAGAGTATGATCCTGGCCACTAAATATGTAAAGCAAAATGATTAGCAAGCAAGGAGTCGACGAAAGAACAGGAACATTATGATACCCCCAACTCGCCAAGTAGTGAGGGACTAGAAGGTTACTGACCGTAGCAGGGCTGACAATTTGCGTTAAAATTATATATGACATGTCGAAGACGAAGACTCCCGGTTGGTCGGTTTTCAAACATCTCGGAAGTGATTCATCCAAATCAACTATGGAGCACTCGGATCGCGAGAGACACCGTCCTCCCCTACGGACACCGAAGCCAGCTCCTGCCGGCGATGAAAGCTCCGCCATAATGAGGAAGAATGACCATAGATTTCGGCGACCTCTGCCTAGCTACACGACTCTGCCGAGTCCGCAACCAAATCCATCAATCTCACCGCCGAGTCCAAGTCCACTTCCGGCGAGTAGAGGAATGAAGATTGCTCCGACCGATCTTCACGCCGACACCCTCCTTGCCGACTGCATGACCTTCAGCCGGCTGAAGCCTCCACAGTAACAGCCGGAAGCGTGTGGTTAGACAGCAAGATAGTCCGATAACTCGGACTCGGACTCGGCGAACCTTCGCCACTGCAACAATAGGTGCTGCCGTGATCTTCGCCATTGGTTAGAGTGGTCGGGTCCATCACTGTTTTGCGTTTCTTTTTCCCCAAAAGTACCAATGGAGATTTTCTCCCAATCATCTTCATTACGGCAAGAACCTCCAGAGAATCGTTCATCAACACACCCCTGCTATCTCTCCCAAAATAGTCGCCGGAGCGATGAGTCTCATTCGGACGACCGAATGACCAAGCTAAATGATCTGATACTGTGCTTGGCGATGTCGGGTGGCGGCTACAACAACTAAGTGTCAGTTTCAACCGGATAATCTGAGTTGCCGACCCAAGCTAATTATATACCATCGGCGCGGCGAGACTCACGATTTGGCATTGTAACAATTCGCAGGGCAAACAATCATTTAAAAAGTGCGGTGGTCGTCCGTATTGCGTCTTGGAATCCTCCCCTTTGCTGGTCGTATTCTACCCCCGCCGCAGAAAAGCATGGGACTGGAGTGGTTGGTGTTAGAATGATGATGGTTGATGATCCTGTCTCGCAGAAATTTTCCTTGCGGCAGTAATGGTGGTCGGCTACAGAGTCATACTCGGGTGTGGCTCTCTTTCCGACCCTTCCCGAGTCGGACTCGGATGCGGTGTTGGAAAGTGTATGGCTCGGCAGTCCATTTGGCGGACTTAGGAGAAGGTTTGTGGTTGGAACGGAAGCCACCGCCACAGCTGCTCGTGGGCCACGGCCGCTCACATATTTTGCCGACGCAACCCCGAGCGATCGCCGAGCAACCGCCGGCCATGGACAGCCCTGTCACAACCGATGACCTCCTCTGGTGTTCATTTTGAAATCAGCAACAATAGGCTCCCGAACCTGTTATAGAAAGAATGTCTACATGGCAATAAAGGGAAATCGGAAAATTATGCTTCTAACGCCGAAGTCAGCCGCTCTTTTGCGATCAAAAATCATAAAGGGAGAGTTTGAAGTTAACTTGTCTGATGAAGAAAAGTATAAGGAAGAAGGAATAACGTGCGACATATTTGCAAAAAAGAAGAATAACGTGCATAGCATATTTAAAGAAAGGGAGAAGAATGAGCAATTTTGTCAACCTGCCATTCCCATACGCACTTGTACATGGAATAATTTCCTACTTGCATGCTGATTGATGATGGTCTCAAAACTGGAGCTATTTGGCGGTAAAATCCTAAAGCGGGACACATCTCGTAACCTGCCTACGACTGTCCTAGTGCACCTTGAAATGTGTTACATTCAATGCAATGGAGATTCAAAAATTCAATTGTGTAGGATTGGTAAAAGCCATGGAAGAAAATAAGGAGGCCAGGGCTCGACTCCTCTCGCCTTAGCGTTAATATTTTTCAGCTCGGTGGGAAATACTAAGCTGCTTCAAAACCGACTGCCTGAGTATTATCATTTACGCGAGTTTGAAGGATGGATTTTTCGACATATGGCGAGCTTAATTTCCAGTCACATGTGCCGCACAATAGACTTGGATATATTCTGGGCAGGGCAAGAAAATATATTCCAAGATATTGCTCATGGTATTTCTCATCTACAAGGGGCTACATAAAGGAAGGAAAAGTAAAGCTACAACCGAGAATCACCCCGACTAAAAGACGCAGGTCAGTAAAGAAAGAACCAAGAGCCCAAGCTCTCAGAAGTTTGTTAGAAAAGAATAATCATAGCCAGGACTCGCCTCGAGCAGGGACTCGGCGAGAGAAAATGAAAAGAAACAAGGGCTAGGACCCTTAGAAAAAGCCTAATGGGTCACCTCGACCGAGGGACTCGGCAAGAAAAGATAGGAAACAAGGGCCCAGACCCTTAGACGTTTCCGAGAAAAAGCCTACAGGAGTCGCCTCGACTGAGGGACTCGGCGAGTATTGAGAGAAACGACGGGGCACTGACCCTAAACTGTTTCTGAGATAGAAAAAGCCTAATGGGTCGCCTCGACCGAGGGACTCGGCAAGAAAAGATATGAAACAAGGGCCCAGACCCTTAGACGTTTCCGAGAAAAAGCCTACAGGAGTCGCCTCGACTGAGGGACTCGGCGAGTATTGAGAGAAACGACGGGGCACTGACCCTAAACTGTTTCTGAGATAGAAAAAGCCTAATGGGTCGCCTCGACCGAGGGACTCGGCGAGAAATTAAAAAAATAACGGGGCACTGACCCTAAATCGTTTCTAAGTAAAGAAAAAGCCTACAGGGGTCGCCTCGACTGAGGGACTCGGCGAGAAAAGATAAAAGAAACAAGGGTTCCGACCCTTAGACGTTTCTAGAGAAAAGAGAAAAGAAACAAGGGTTCCGACCCTTAGACGTTTCTAGAGAAAAGAGAAAAGAAACAAGGGTTCCGACCCTTAGACATTTCTAGAGAAAAGAGAAAAGAAACAAAGGGTTCCGACCCTTAGACGTTTCTAAAGAAAAGAGAACAGAAACAAGGGTTCCGACCCTTAGACGTCTCTT